GTGTAAATCCTGGAGTCGGTAATATGCTTGACGGTATGTGACAGATGGAGACTGCAGTTCGAAAATTGGGGCGTATTGTAGCCGCAGGGCATTGGCTGCTTCGTCGGCGCTTTGTGCCCTACCGCCTGTTGTGAAAAGTGAATGGATGCCATGCTTTACTTTATGAATACTTTTGACATGCCCATACAGTAGTTTGTTGTTTGCCAGCAACTTTTTGGTTAGGCACTGTTGATAAGTTACTTTGTCCTCAAGAACAAGTGTGGTGCGATAGTTGTCATGGTTCAGGGAGTTGCCCCAAGTTTCTGAGTCTGGCTTGATATCGTAGGTGCGCTATACTGCATCAATTATTTGCCATGCATTTTTAATCCTGCTTCTTAGAATTGACGACACTTTTGCGTAACGAAGTGACTTGGTTTCTAATGCTTCCTTGACCATGTCACTTAGCATTCCAACGAAATCTCTCGAAACGTTGTCCAGGGGACGGTTGTTCGAAATTCCCAAGAGTATGCCTAGACGAGTTATTTCAGCAAATGGTAACATGTAATTGTACGAGAGTTCCAAGTGTTCAGATGGATACTATGCATAACATTCATAGTTAAACGCTAATAAGACATGGTCGCTGAGACCTAATGGACTGTACATCAATAACTTGTTGATCAAGAGCTCTTCATTCGTGAGCACGTGGTCTAATATGAAGGTTTTGCATGCTGTCCTGAATCCAATGAGCGAGGTGATATGATTGTACTAGGAAACAGTCGCAATAAGTTCATGCAAGTCTGCTTTGAAATGTTCCGTGGCAGGTGCCGATATTTCCAGATCGTGTACATTGAAGTCACCGGTAATGAGAATGTGGCTGCACCTAGTACGTGTTATCCTGTGTTCAAGGCACGTATAAAGCTATAATCCATCTTCGGGATGGACGTTGGGGGAAGTAAGCGACAGCTACTAGACATGCGTCATTGTGTCTTAGTCGCAGATGGCACCAGAGTGAGTCGGTAACTTGTGTTTCCGGTATTGCCACCACACACGGGCGATCCTCCGCAGACATCCGTTGTCGAAAGCCTACGCATGTCGACCACTCGAATCGGCCAAGCTTTGCATCCATACAAAAGTATCGGGGGAACACAAACATTGTTAACCCTATCTTTTAGCAAAAGCGAGATGTTGAGATGACTCCACAGATGTTTCAAATTAGCAAAAGCCGAGCGAACTTTAGCGATCCGGAGAGACACATCGGCAGAGTTACTGCTCCCAAGCTAGACAAAATTATCCACCTGCTCAAACTAAATGTTTTCAGTGGTGAGCTGAGGAAGAACAGTTTGCCAATCCTGTGTCAGCACTTTGCACTTTGAGGGTGCAAAGCACATACCATACTTGGACGCTTCAATCACCAGTCGGTCAAGGATCAGTTGCATCCTGTGAGGGTTGTCACCAAGCAAAGCGTAATCTAAGTCGGATGCACGATTACCTGGATGGAGCTCAATTCCAGAATTCTGAATGCTCTCTAGTTCTCACAATAAATCATCTTCGATCGCGAAATTGAATAGAAATCGAGACATAGGGCATCCTCGTCGCACACCAAGCCCTTGCTGACTATCTTTGGTTCGAAAAAGCGCATCCCGGTCTACACAGCCAACGGACTACAACGTTTGGCTCTTACCTTTATGGGATGTGATTTCGAGATCAACTACCAGTCGACAATTTCCACTGGACAAGCGGATGCACTGTCACGCCTAATTGATGCCCACCAACAAGAACATGACACAATCATTGCCTCGGTCGAGATCGAACCTGACGTCAACTTTCTGGTAGCTGATGCATTGCACGTTCTACCAGTTACCGCAGAAGCTGTAAGAACCGAAACGCTTTGGGACCCAGTACTCAAAAAAGTTTCACAGTTCCACAAAACAAGTTGGCCACGTTCATGTCCATCTGCCGACTTGCAACAATACTTCCAGTGGAGACACTCGCTCTCTATTGTAAACGACTGGAAGGTGTGGTCATCCCCAAGGCACTTCAGGAGCGCCTTATTCGGCAGTTTCACGCCGGGCATCCTGGAATCAATCGGATGAAGGCGCTTGCCCACAGTTATGTATACAAGCCCTCCATAGACAAACAGCTAGAAGAAATAGCTAAACGCTGCCAAAAGTGCGCCAATGTCTTGAAAGCGCCACGAAAGGCAGAACTCTATTCATGACCAATAGTTACTAAGCCATGGGGCCGCGTCCATGTCGACTTTGCAGGACCGATTAACGGCAGAAGTTTCCACATTACAGTCGACTCATACAGCAAGTAGCCTGAAGTATTTCTCGTGGACAGCACAACCACCAATGCCACTGTATCAAAACTGCACCAAATCTTTAGCAGATTCGGCTGTCCTGAGACAATTGTAACTAACAATGGCACACAATTCACCTCGGCAACTTTTACGGAGTTCTGCAAGCAATGCGCTGTCCCGCACATTCGCTCGCCACCGTTTCACCCACAGCCAAATGGCCAGGCAGAAAGCTTTGTCGATGCGTTCAAGCGAGCTCTCCACAAATCAAAAGGGGAGGCAGGTATACAGGAAGTGGTTGACCGGCTCCTCTATACCTGCCTCCCCTTTTGATTTGTGGAGAGCTCGCTTGGGCATACAGATCTGGGCACGGCATGCAAACCAGTTACGGCCAACATTGTGCCAATCAGAACAAGCAAGACCTACCGACCTCCCGTTCGATTTATTGGTGGAAAGCTTCCACCTGCCGAAGGTCGCAGTGAACGACTGCACACAGTCGAGTAAAGAATCCAGAACACGGACATCGGAACAATGTTCTCGGGCACTTCTGCCAAGGAGATGGACCGACAGGCAGAGAGCACCGTCCCGTAAAGTGCAAGTTAATCCTAGGCTTTCAACCTATACCTCGGACGACATCTCAGGAAGGGATGTGTCCGGGAGAAAGTAAGAATTGTCTAGGAAATCCACTATTTTAACGATTAATCGATTATTAACGATTCATCTATTTCGAACGTTCCGAAATGTTCTAGTTTCTACACGTGACTAAAAACCACCTGACACCTCGGCAAAAGATATGGGGAACCACTAACCTTGGAGCTGACCTTCCAATTCTAGAAGTCGAAGGTCAGTAAGAAACCTATAAATGCCGTCAAGGTCCGTGCTGGTTGTACAGTGTTTGTTGACGGCGAGTAATACATTATTTGTCAGGGTCATTGACGTTCTGCTTTTTCCTTCGGTTCTGCTAGAAGTTTTGTTGAGCAGTAAATTGTTTTTTTGAATTGCGTCTAGTGAGAAGATTATAACACCACTGGTGACAGGGAAGACTACAGAGAGCTTGCCGTAGGCTCTTACTCTGCTTGAGGTCTAGCTATAACGCTCGAGGAATAGCGACATACTTTTCATAGACTTTTTACTTTAGAAGGCAATACCATAAGCCAGGTCGATCAACTGAGTCGAATGCAGCCCGAATCTCCAGGAAAACGACGATGGTGGGTCTGCGGTATATGCGGCGATGTTCAAAGTACTGACGAAGCGTGAAAGTATGATCCACGCTACCTCCCGACAGTGCGCCCGCGAGTTGGCGGCAGCTTGCGCAACATGATAGTTGCCAGCAGCTTAAAGGCAACAGGTACCATACTGATTCCTCTCCGATTGTCACATGAAGTCCGGGAGCCTTCCTTGAAGACTGGGACAATAACTGACTCTTCCCATGAAATGGGGTCTCTTTCTTCACTCCAGATCTTCATAAATAGGGATGTTAGCTGGGTGACAATTTTCGTATCATCATATTTGAACAGTTCCGCATGAAGCGCGTCTGAATCTGCAGCCTTAAAGCATAAACTATATGGAGAAAGGTGGATGTTGTCGCCCAGTGATATTGCCCTGAGGGAATCTCATTTAGTGTCAGCGTGACTATGTACGGTCACTGTTGCAGCAACTGCACATCTCAAGTGGCTCACTGCGGCATGATACAATGGTAACAGTAGTATTATGAGGAGAGTTCAGTGGGTTCGCTGCAGCCGACACGATAAATGTATGTGTCCTGACTAGAGCTTAGTTGGTTTCTTTTCGCTTAGCATCTGTACTGGGACTGCCTCATATGTTGTCTAGCCCAGTCTGAGTCGCCGCATGGTGAGGTGAGCCTGACGAAATCTGCACAAACTTGGCGGAGCTATATCAGCTCCGTAACAGGTACACTCAGTAAAATAATGTCAGTGCATTCGTAAAAGCACTAGACGGTTGTTCTGTTCTTTCGGGACCCATCCGTACTGCCTATCGTATCTATTCAGTGAAGATTTAGTACCCTCACCTACTAGTCGATGACTATTTGCCCAGTCTAGGTTATAATGCTATCAGACGGTAGCAGCTCAATAAAGGAAGTCATGCCATAAGTTTGCAGAGAATAAATCTCACATTATATCACCAATTATTTAGCCATATCGTTGATTTAATGAACTTACTTGGTCAGCACAGCTTAGTATTTGCCTGGGCACCACGTCGTTGCGGACCAACTGGTGCTTCTCCGCACGAACAATGCCGAGTTGCCGACGATGGTCAATGAACTAGGTGCTTCCGACATCTTCCTACCGACGAGGTAAAGTCTCCCTTCCTTACAGTAGAATGGATCTCACTGTACGATTGCAATTTCAACTTTCACTATCAAGGGCAACCTCCGTATGATACTAAATATGTCACAAATTAATAAACACAGTTCTGTGGCTCTTGCATCTCTTTGTTCTCCTCAGCACTTATAAGGTGGTCTCGGTTTTTTCAGTTGCCAAGCAAGATGCTTATGTCAGTTGTCATCACATTCTTTCAGGTTTACTTTGTTCTTATTATCGTGGCTGCACGAAACGTTTGGATCGCGGTTGTTTAATAAAGCAAACTGAACTCTGCCGATTATTTTAGCACTTTCTCTCAAGTTCCATGCAATTAGCGATTATCCCTGTGTGATTAAGCTTTATCCAACGGATGCCGCATTTAATCCATGCTATTCGCTCCTCAGGTGAAGCAAACACAGCTCACTCAATTGCAAAAAAGTTTGCCCGTGCTGCTTCAAGTAACTCTGAGACAAGCGGTTGACAGAGTTCATACAATGGCCAAAGTGCAGATCACAAAAACTCACAAGCGACTGGAAGAGGTAGAACACCGCTTGTGGCAACAGACCCGGCAGCTGCGTGAATTGGAGTCTACTAATCGTTTCCTCAAGGTTAGTATGGATTCATTATTGACAAAAGGAAATGTTTCACCTTTCTAGTCCATGGAGGTGTCTTTAACTATTCTATCGTCTGATGTGCTTCTCCATGGAGCTTCTTTGCTGGGTGCCATTCCACTTTAGCATTTGTGTGAGATACTCTCAGGCCAACGCCACTGCACTTTACGCCTTCTCAGACTCCTGACACTAAATATTCTTCGATGTGTATGTACTTGTGGTGGTGTAGTCCAAGCCATCGATGGTCCCTCTGTAGGCGCGAGAGTCCTGCGGCTGTCCTATGGAGGCATCAGTGACAAGCAAATCCGGAACCGGATGCCGCCACTCATGTGCTTGTTCCTATTTATCCCGTTCTCAGTGCTTCTGCTCATGCGCGTGCCACTATTCACGGCTCCGCATCCGCGAACTGATCTTGCCCATCTACACACGCAAACGTGCATGCAGCTTGCTCTTTGAAAGATGTGACCATTCATCGCACAGATGGTATTTGCTGCATTTCATCCCTCCATTGATTGATCGGCTCTAAGTTAGCCGGTTTGACCCCGTTTACTTCCACCTCAGACGAATCGTGACACTGACGATTTCTTCTGCGTTGGTCACTTGATCGACGATCCAGCGCTATTTCTTGTCAACCTAAAAGGTTTGTTTTCACACCTTATTAATGCCTGTGTAACTGGCACCTTTAGTTTTGGATCCACCTTGTGGTTTGAATAATTTGGAATGGGCACTATGCTCAACAGCGTTTTGTTCGTTACATGCGCGAATTCTGTTACTTCGGCCTCCTCGACTGTTTCCACCCACTATTATTAGTGAGAACACAAACCAGTAGGAGAGAGAACCAGAGTTCATCTCATGTGAAATGACCCCGTCAAATTGTATGACGCCTAAATGTAAAAGCTAGTCGGAACACTGAAAAAATCACGAACAGACAAAGTCAATAAGGATCCAACAAATATGGACCAATCAGATCCACACAAAAATGGAATATTGTTGTAACGTCTGACTGCAACGCAGCCCCACTCCGAGCGGGGAAACAACAACGCATCGCGCTGGGACGAGCTGTATTGAAAAACTGACATGCCTGAGCGAAGACAATGCACAAAGATCATAGCTCAATCAGCCAACCACATG